ACGTTCACCTTGACTGTAGCAAGATGTTCTAAAATGCCTCCCATAATGTGTTTGTAACTGAATTAGGGAGGTCTGGACTGGGTGAGCAGACAGCAAGGTGGGAGAAAAACCCTCTGACCTGTCGAGTGCAAGAGGAGGCGGTTGATGTCTCGAAGCTCAGATGGTGGCTGGTTGAGTGACATATCTGGCCATACTGGGATGGAGCCTGAGACAGCAATTTGCCCTTGCAGCAAGGGAGACCTTGGTCATCCTGGGCCGGGATAGCAAGAGGCCTCTGAGGTGGGTATTCCTCTGCTTTTGGYTTTAAGGAAGCTGCATCTGGAGAATTGTGTCCAGTTTTGATGTCCCCACTATGACAGGGGTAACCAGGCTGCTGAGATGATGAGAGACTGGAGCTCCTCAAATTCAAGTGACAGAAAAACRGATGGGTTTGTTCAGGCTGGACAAGGTTAAGGAGAGATCTCATTGCTGTCTTCAACTGCCTCTACCAGGAGATTATGGAGAAGGGGGAGCCAGGACCTTCTGCAAGGTGCCCAGTGAAAGGAGGAGAGGCAGCAGACAAGTTCCAGCAAAGCCCATTAGATACAAGCAGTTAAATACAAGGAAACAGTCTTTGCAGTGAAGGAGGTAAAAGCCTGGGGATGAAGGCCCCAGGTGGTTGACTATCTCCATAGATGGAGAATTTTTTCATAGATGGAGAAATACTTTGAGCAGGGAGAGAAGGATGTTGATCAGAAGGCCCATCCAAGCAAAATGATTCTAAGATTTCCCAAAGTAGAAAAAAAAAAGATTATGGATTTGATCTTGGCAAAGAAATGTTGGAAACCACCATGTTTCCAGTGGTCAGAGTTTTGATGACAAACTAGGGAATGCAAGGAGATATTTRGCAAAGTCAGGCTTGAAAAAGCCAATGCACCATAAATTATTATATTAGTTGCTGTCTATAAAAAAGGTATCTGACTAGACAGCTGTAAAACAGGATCAGATTTCAAACATCAAAGAAGCAAAAGAAAGTTTCTCCATTAAAAATCCTGGTGAGTGAAGGAGGTGCTGACTGTGACAGGGAAATGATGAAATGTGATGTGGAACACTAAGATGAGAAAGAAAATACCCTTAAACTAACCCTCTATCCCCCAAATTAGTTGTATAATGCAAATTTGTGCTGCATTATAAGTAAGTGCAGCTCCTTCCATAAAAGCCTGGTTTGTATAATCGATATCCAGCTCTGCTGTTCTGTGTTTGGCTTCTGCTGATTTATAATCTGAGGTTTTGTGCCTCTGCCTAGTTTTCGTATTAGGTTTCAAATGAAATAAATTTGTCTTTTCTTCAAAGACGAAAAATGCAGAAATATCCAAGATGTATTAAAGTTGGCAAGTCCAGAAAAGGGAGAAAAGCCCAATTACTCTTTAGTTGGGGAATGATGGAATTGTTGCCAAAAARCCATTTGCAGTGGGAGGTTGGTTGTCCCACACTCCTTTCCTTTTCTAATTATTTAAAAGTTAGGCGTAGATTTTATTAAATAAGGACTGCTCAATCCAAGCTTTTATCTTAACAAAACAGAGTATAATAAATGTACCATCTATTTGCTTAGCACAATTCTTCCCTGTCCACTCCGAGGTGTTAAACACGAAGCCCATGATGTTGTGACCAGCATCAGCCCTTCAACCTCAAATCCTATTGATCCCTTTAGTGGATTTTACAGTTTAGGGTACATTGGTTTTCATTATATTCAACTTTTTTTATAACTTGCCCATAAACATGCTCTGGGGGGAAAAAATAATTATTTTGGTCTCCCAAATTTCTGTATTTCCGCTCCGATTGCAGGTGGTTATTCCTTCGTTTGAGCATGTCCCCTCTGGCACCAAGTGGGGAATGGTCTGGTGACTTTATTTTTTCTATAGCTGAGATTTCCCTCTTTAATTCTCGCAGAAGAAGGGGGCCTTTCGTAGCCCCATGTTAATGAATCACACGTTGGCAATGTTTTTCCCCAACCCGATAAACAACTGCTCTGTTCGTCTGTCAGATCAGTGAGCCGCAAACTCTGAAATGTTTTAATGTTTTATGTATGCTTTTTATTTTTTTACCTTCCCAATATGCATATTTTGACAGCCGTTCCAGCCTTCCCCAAAATATCTTAAGCTTCATGTATTTTAGGCTGGAACGGAGTCGATGTTTTTGTTGGTGAATTAGAATCTATTTGTTTGTACCTCTCCTGCTTAAAAAAAAAAGAGAAAAATAAAGTTGATTCYGGAGCTTGGTTTGTGGTGGGGAAGTTTCCAGTTGTGCTGGGCTGGGAGTCAGATGAGGAACCTGTAGAGAACATCTAATAAAGTGCTGAAATTAGTCACCCTGATGCTTCTGGCGTGCACTGTTCTTGCAGGAGTCGGCACAGCTCATATCTCTCACTCAAGGTGTCCTCTTCTTGATCACATTGAACGCTGGGGTCTTCATCATCTGGGGTCATTAAAGAGGCTGGTGTCCTCCCTGGAGAGGAGCTCTTAATCCTGCTCGCATCCTGCTTTGGGAATTAGCCACGTTATCTCTGCAGTTTCAGGTGGTTTCAAGAGAAGAGTCCATCCCCCTTCCGTAAATCTCTTCTGTGCCTGTTAAACCACATCCATATTCACCAGGAGAGGTGGTGATTTTGAGGGGCCGAGTGAGGCAATTTCCATAGGGAAACGGATATGATCCCCACTGATGGTGTTGGAGTTTGCGTTGATTTATAGTTTTCTTTTGTGATCCTTGCTTCAAGGCTGCTTTGAATTGCTTTTTGTTTTCCTCCTTGATCAATAATTTACTGTTTGTACCCAAAAAAAAAAGTTTATATATATATATATATATATATATAAAAATTAGCTGGAACAATTAATCTCAGTTAAACATCCAGTGGTAAATGGGATGGAGGGAGAAAAAGGTTAACAAGGAGCTTTTTCGGTGTTAGACGTCAGTGAGGTTGAGAGCATGTGAGTTGCTTGCATGGGTAGACACTTTGTGTAGTTTTTCTGTACTCTTCTTGTGTGTTCTCTTATCACAACATGTCAGGTAGCTCTAAATTTTGTCTTGGGCTCTGCAGTTTCTCTCTGTACCTTGGGAGCTCAAAGGAGCAKCTCTTGTATGAGGAGAGCCYGAGCGAGCGGGGCCTGSTGAGCCTGGAGAAGAGGAGGGTGAGAGGGGAGCTGGTGAGTGTGTCCAAGGAGCCGAGGGGAGGATGGAGGGAGGAAGGTGCAAGCTCTGGTGGGTGGTGGCCAGGGGCAGGCCAAGGGGCAGTGGGTGCAGGTTGCAGCGCAGGCAGCTCCATGTGGCCGTGAGGAAGAACTTGTTTGGTGGGAGGGTGCCCGAGCCCTGGCCCAGGCTGCCCAGGGAGGCTGCGGAGGCTCCTGCTCTGCAGATCTGCCAGCGCRCCGGGATGCGCCCGGGTGCCCCGTGCTCTGGGTGTCCCTGCTGGAGCAGGGGCTGYSCTGGGGGAGCCCTGSGGGTCCCTTCCAACCTCAGCCATCCTGGGATTCTGTGAAAGGGCACCCATTGCACAAAATCCTCCCTGGCCTGAGAGCTGAGCAGCTGGAAGTGGTCRGCCTGTCTTGCAGCATGGCCCCAAAGCCGAGTACAACTTATTGTTGCTTGCTCTGGTTTTCCATTTTCCTCAGACTGTGTTTCTAGGGGACAAGGACTACAGGCTCAGCCTGCTCTGAGGGCCTGTTCCTAACAGGTACTGTTTGAGAAGAGACAAATAAACCAAAACAACCCACCTTGCAAGCCGTTGTATTCTGCTTCTCCAAAGCAAGGCCTGGATTTCCCTCRTTTCGTCTTTCATGTGGTTTCCTTCCTGTGTTGTATGAGTGTTGAAGGCTGCATCTTGGATTTAGGTCCGGTCCTGTTCAACTTATTCATTAACGACCTGGATGAAGGGCTAGRGTGCTCCCTCAGCAAGTTTGCTGATGATACCAAACTGGGTAGAGTAACGGATAGCCCTGAGGGCTGTGCTGCCATGCAGAGGGACCTGGACAGACTGGAGGACTGGGCGGCGAGAAACCTCATGAGGTTCAACAGGGGCAAGTGCAGGGTCCTGCACTTGGGGAGGAATAACCCTGGACACCAGTACAGATTAGGGGTGGACCTGCTGGAGAGCAGCCCCRCAGAGAGGGACCTGGGTGTCATGGTGGACGACAAGTTGACCATGAGGCAGCAGTGTG